AATAAGATGGACACACAATGGTGTCAAACACAACTGGCAAGTACTAAGAAGTAAATCAAGAGCAAACTACATTAGACTTAAACATTAAAGGCCTGCTGTCCTTGCATCTAATAGAAATAGTTTGTATTTGACTGACAGCTGTGGATAGACGGTCCAAATTGAGACCTCCACATGATGTCTGTGGGACACAAGGGGATGATAGGTCAGAATGGGAGAGTTTGGGAGACTAACGAGAGAAGGACAGTTAGTTCGGCCAATTGTGCATGACTTAGGAAATGAATCTACACTTCGCAGGCCATTATCTCCATTACTATCTGAAAATGATCTGCTTGTTCCTTGCATTTTGAGCCAAACTAGAACCAAGAGATCTAGGATCGGACCATTTTCATATCCACACTTGAGTCACACGTTCACAATGACATTTGAAGCGGTTCATGATCATTACATATCAATAAGGATCTAAAATTGAATAAAGTTGGGTTTAGAACAAGGTTTATTGGCAATATCTGTTGCATGGAGGATGTTACCACAGAAAATAACCAATTTCACACGTGAAACCCGTTAAATTGCAGTTAAATTGGTGCCATTTCAGACAAAGCACCATTCTGTTATTGACACACTTAGTGGTTTTCCATCTTTTATGCATATCACTGCTACCATTTACGCATCAGTACACTGTCACTGGGGCAGTACCTTTTCAAAAGGTACACTTAGGTACTAATATGTACCTTCAAGGTACCAATATGGACTGTTTAGGTACAAAGGTGTGCCTTTTGAAAAGGTATCGCCCCAGTGACAGCTTTTGTACCTTTTTTTCCTGAGAGTGCACCAAATTCTGGGTAAAACTCCTCATTTGCCTTTGATCCCGTTTATAACTCATTCCTGAAGGAGGCTAAATGGAAGCTTTCAGTCAATGGAAAGCAGCTTATTAGTCAACGTCTGTCAAATTATAAAAAAAAAAAAACAGTTGTTTTAAATTGTAATAATTTTTCACAATATTATGGTTTCATTGTATTTTTGATCAAATAAATGCAGCCTTGGTAATCAAAAGAGACTTTCAAAAACATCAAATATATATGCTCTTTATATAAACTGTGGGATAGTCTGAAATGAGCTTCACACGTTTCACAATAAAACAGTCATGTGAACTCAGCTTTAGAAGGTAAACATGGGTAGCATGGCATTGCACATGAATAAAAACACAGCTCGTCCTTGAATGTTGAGAGACAGCTGTCAGTTAAAAAAAAAAAACCCTGTCGACCTCTAATGACAGGCGTTTTAGACACTTCTATTTAGTGCTACACCACAGACAGGTTAAAAGAGGTTGCTGATTGCATGGTCATATCCAAAGGACTGTCCTCACATCAGATATAGCTCAGTCCTGTGTACAATACAGACCTGATCCTGATGGTCATCCATGCTGACAACTGGTTTATTAGCACGACAGCCTCTGATAGGTTTAGACTGTCAGCTGTTGCTATGGCGATTCAGATTAAGCATATGTCACATTTTATGTGCAAGTGATTTTGGGGAGAATGTTATTAATTTGTTGTTCTAAACCGGTAATAATTTATTTCTTCTTCTGAACACAAAATAAGATATTTTGAAGAATGTGGGTGACCAAACACTTTATGGTCCCCATTGTCTTCCATAGTAATGTTTTTTTTTTCTTCTCCATACTATGGTAGTAATAGTTTGGTTACCCACATTCTTCAAAATATCTTCTTTTGTGTTCAAGAGAAGAAAGAAACTCAGAGGTTTGGAACAATTTGAGGGTGAGTAAATAATGACATCATTTTTATTTTTAGGTGGATTATCCCTTTACAGTAGATACAGAAGTTATGAAACCGTTTACACTAGCACTAAACATCACAAGATATTAAATATAAGACTAAAGCTCTATTGAGCATAAAAGCATGCATGACCCATTTATCTGGCGCCTGATCACATGTAAAGAGACAGTGAAGAATAAAGCTACTCAAGAGGGTGAGAAAATCACACTCTCAGACACTCTGAGACTTGGGAATGTGAACTCTGCTGCTGCTGTCAGAGAGAAAATTATCACCTGATCTCCATACTGTCCCTCAGACCAGAGTAATATCAGCACAGGCGACCAGAACCTCCTTATAGTAGCAATCTGTCTCATATTTATAATTTGGTTAAATAGTAAAAGATTCTTCTACCTATAAGCTAATGCAAAAAAAAAAAAAAAGTTAGAGGTTTATATGGAGATCAATAATCAGAAAAACCACCCTGACACTACATCAAAACATAAACGCATTCAATAAGCTGACAACAGGATGGGATCTACAATTCAAGGTTATGCCCAAAATCCTATAATCCCAACGAAAAGCGTAAATCAACTTTTGCTTGAACTACTTATGATTATGACCTTTCCTT